CTGGCTTAGTGCACCTCTAAATGTTACAAGTGTTCTGACCTGTGAATGTCAGAAATGTGCAATTTGTTCATTTTAAGAATAGTTATGTGTTGCTGTATATTTTCATCAAATATAATTACCATTACTGGAACTTTAAAAGTATTAAGTTTCTCTATTCTTTGAATTAATTTGGCAACATTACATGTTATGAGATATACAAGGCAGAAGATTAAGTAAAGTTTAACGTAGAATTGACTATCATCACAAGACAAACTTCTCAACTCCTAAGTTCATAAAACAGTAATTCAAAACCAGTGATGGTATTACAATGCAACAGTATTACGGGAGGTATTTTTATCATTAATGAGTAATCATATTATTGAATATTTTCCACAATGCTGTTACTTAATTTGACAGTTCACCCCAAAATGAAAATGCACTCTCTCTATACTCACAGTGTATCAAGTAAACATAAACCTTTATGAGTTTTTTTTTTTTTTCTGTTTAACATAAAGGGAAATATGCTGAAGAACGATTAGAAGCTGCAGTCATTGACATCCATAGCAGGAAAAAGAATACTATGAAAGTCAATGGGTTTTTCAAAATATCTTCTTTTGTGTTCAATTAGAAGAAAAAGTAAAACGTTGGAACAAGTCAAGGGAGAGGAAATCATGAGCTAATTTTAATTTTGGTAGAATTTTTGGTATCTTTTTAATTACTTACTTTTATAATGATGTAGCTAGCATGTATTAATAACAACAATAACAAATATCCTTTTAAAAGGCTGCACGGTGTTTGGTACAGGTGAATTGAGTTGGCTAAATAGTCCGTAGTTTATGTGTGGGAATGAGTGTGAGGATGTTTCCCAGTGATGGGTTGAAAAGGCATCCGCTGTGTGAAACATATGCTGCATAATTTGGCTGTTCATTCTGCTTTGGCGACCCTTGATTAATAAAGGGACTAAGCCGAAAAGAAAAGGAATGAATGAATGAATGAATGAATGAATGAATGAATGAATTAATTAATTAATGAAAAGTATCATGCAAAACACTGTTGAAGTCAAATGGATTTTTATGCTTAAAAAAAGTTCTTCATTGGTGTCAACAGTTCCACATCATCTACCACAGTGTTTCCCAAAGTGGGAATCAGGACCCTCTGGGGAGTCATGGGACAATGAGCGGGGGTCACTTGGTGATTTGTAAAAATCTATTTCATTTCATTAAACTAGTAGAATTAACCTACAGAAGAAAAGAAAATAGCCACATAAAAAAGCAAATAACCTCTTAAGGCCCAAGGTGTTTTTTTACATGTATTTTTTTATTTCTCTTTGCTATTTTGGCTTATTGGAACCTAATTAGAAGTGTCATCTTTTGATATGATGTACTTTTAGAGAAAAATGATGTCCATTTATGTGGACTCGTGGTCCGAATTTAGATAAATCACTTTTCCTGACTGTTTTTAGTGCATATATAACATAGACATTTTTTTTTTGGAACTTACTTTGACTATCAGAGAGTAAAAGCAACATTTTATTCCCATTTTAGAAAGTTGAAAATAGGGGTGAAGACATTTTACATGCTGCAAAGCAGTTGCAGGATGACAGTGTATGTCTGTAGCAAAATATAAAACATTTAAAGTACTGTAAATAGCCATTTAAGAGCTAAAATGTGCTCTCCACGTATGTGGCCTCTCATGCCCTAGGAGGTTATAAAGCCATCAGCCTTTCGATTTTTTGCGACCTTTGGGGTCATTCCGTTATATTAAAGACAGAACAAGAGCAGATTGGTTTTATGGCACCAGGTTAAACTTTCTGACATCTTTACGGCACTCACGTATATTAAAAATAAACTCAGGCTACAACTAAACATGGAAGACGGTCTTGGGCCTATTGATATGTGTGCACTATTGTATGCAAGGTTTATATAACTACCTCAGAGGATATTGAGGGGCCCAAGTCACTGGCATTGTTATTTTAGGGGTCGCGAGTCACTGGCATTGTTATTTTAGGGGTCGCGAGTCACTGGCATTGTTATTTTAGGGGTCGCGAGTCACTGGCATTGTTATTTTAGGGGTCGTGAGTCACTGGCATTGTTATTTTAGGGGTTGCGAATTGATGTTTGGGAACCCCTGATCTACAGAACCTTTACATTCAATGTTCTAAGCTATTAAAATATTACTCGTCACACTAAGAAAAAAATAGTAGAACTTTTGACTGATAGGCTGTTTGATAGGAACCCCAAATGGCTGTTCTATGATGACATTAACATATTCTGTATACTAACAAATAATAATTTAATTACACCTACATTGAGAACAAGCAGAAATGGTCTGTGTGGTGGTGGACAGAGCTCTGAGGTTCGGATGTAGCTGTGGATTTTTAGTAAGTAAGTAATGTGTATTTATGTAGTGCATTTGTTGTGTTTGGACATACACCCAAAGTGCTTCACAATCATGAGGGGGGGGTCTCTCTCATTTGGATGGTGCGATGGCAGTCACAGGTAAACAGCGCCAGTGTGCTCACCGTACACCGCCTATTGGGGGAATGGAGAGACAGTGGCTATGTTTTCATCAAAAAATGCAAATATACTTTAATGCGAGAAACTGGATTATTGCATAAAAAACGTATGAATAAAGCAGCGTTTCCATCCAACAGCAAGTCAAAGCGAACAAAATCATCACTTGCTGATTAACTGGCACCAAATTTCAACAGTAAAAATGGAATTTGCTGCGATAAGAGAAGCTGCATGAATCTTTTCTTCATTTAATAAATGACTTGCGTCTCAGAAGGCAATCCTGACATGCAGTCAACGCAGTTTAGCGTTAGAAGGCATTAAATGCGGAGCACAGACGCTCTTGATTCTGGAGATCATAAATAGTATTATAACGCTGATACTGAAATGGTTAAGGCCTTTAAGAATGATCAAAACAACATTTCAGATGTTTTACAATGTGCTCAGCCAGCTGGTTTATCCATTCACTCAAATTTTTATCATCACATGACAAATATCAAACCAATATCATAACAAAAGTGTTTCCATCATAGTTTATGCCCGTCTTTTCTTATCGAATAAAACGTTTATCCTACTCTGGTATGCGCATACGTTTTTTTTATGCGCATTTTTAAAATTTATGCACAGCTTGACGTTTCCATCAACTGGTTTTTAATCCGCATGTCCAAAATGAGTATAAAAAGAGGTGGATGGAAACATAGCTAGTTACACAGCCAATTCGGTGAATGAGGATGATTTGGAGGCCATGATCAGTAAGGGCAGATGGAGAGAAATTGGTCAGGTGGTGTTCAGGGCCGTAGTGGGACTTCTTTTCAGCCTTGGAGTTTCAAGCCTTAGAACGGTCCACCTCAGTTCAAGACTGACAATATTAAAATAACTCCATTTCCAATTCAGTTTCTAATGACAATCGCATCTTTTTTAAGGTAACAGCTGCTTTAGAACTTCAAATGTTTTTCATCAATTTGAGAACATTAAAGGGTAGCTAAATCTCCAACACTACTCTTTAAAACATCACAATGTCCTTTCCAGCAATATCTGAATATATACAGTATTCTGTGCAAAATTTTTTATAGATATCCAGTCATTTGTAACAGTGGTCACACAAAAAATTTAAATAAAATATGTACACCTACATAAGTAACCAAAACAGTATTATATGTCTTATTATATGTTCGAACTTGGGTCATGCTGACCACTGGACCACAATGGCACTGTTATGTTAGCATGTATAATAAATAAAAAATAAATAAATTAGAGCTGTGGCAAAATAATAAATAAAAGAGTGAGGCTATGGTCAAATAAATAAATAAATAAAAAAAAAAGTGCGACTGCTGAGAGTGCAAGCAGCTAGGGACACTGGCCCTCGCGGCCAAAAAAACAGACCGGCCCACCAGGAATTCTCCCAGTCCTCCTGATTAGCCAATCGAGGCTTGGTGGTGTTACACCCCTACTCTTTATGAAAAACCCCATGGATTTCCCATCCATTTACTGACCAGGCTTAGCCCTGCTTAGCTTTAGTGAGTAACCGGTCTAGGGCTGCAGGGTGACATGGCTGTGGCCATGTTAACAGTTGAAGCTTTTTTAAGCAGATTTTTAATACTTTTCAATCATTAAATATTTCTAAAATCCACAGACAGTGTAAAATCCACCATAAACAGTGTACTATAGCACTGAGATATGAAACAAAAGGTGAAATATAGATTTCTTCTTGGCTAACAAAAACTAAAAAAGTACTATTAAACACTGATGAATTTAAATTGTATTACATAAAATATGTAATACATTTTCCATTAAAACAAACTGAATATATTCATTACTCATATTGTACTAAGGGGCTCTCTACAACCAGAATTCCCTCCAACTAAAACTTGTCATCAAATCAGGTTAGTGTTAATTTTAACTAAGGGTTTTTTAATATAAAAAAAATTAACTACTGGCGTTTTTTTTTTTTTTTACATAGTTAATATTTCAGACTCAAGGGGTCTTCAAAAGTACCAAAATTTGATAAATCAATTTAGAAAAATAGAACTAAATACTATTTTACAAGGTATTAAATATTGAATTTAAGGTATTAAATATTGAATATTGGGATTCTGTGTAGTTTATAAAAAAAATAAATAAATAAAAAATTCTGCTAGAGTTGACATCATGCTGCTTAGTTTACTGCAGGGGAAAAAGTGAAGGTGCCACCTGCTGGATTAACATTTTTATTCAGTATATAAATACAGTTTTAGTTTAGGATGTTGTTTCCTGCAATCAGTATTTTTTTAAATAAACTGCAAGTTAAAATGTTGGCAATGTTACTGGTTGAAACCTGTAGTGGTGAGGAGGTCTTAAGGTCTTAAAAAGTATTGAATTTCAATCTCTGATTCCTGTTTAACACATCTGTCAGCATTTCCAATATTATACTCAACAAATGATTGTGATTAAGAAATGTCTGTCAAGAACAGTACAAATATGTATCGCTCTACATTAATTAACAGTTTGAGTAAATAAAGCCTTTCTCTGCAGAGCACTGGCCCAGGTGATGCGCCAGACAGCTCCAGGAGAACATGTGGAGAGAGAGGAGAGTTTGGCGGTGCATGGACAACCCTACGAAAACCTGCAGGCCCGAGCAACAGGAAACAACCTGCGTAAGTAGATCTCCTCACGCACAACAGGTCCAATCCATGTCACTCAAAGCTCAGTTCGGCCCGTTTTAGAAAACACTCTCCGCTGTGAAAATCCAGTGGTAGCAGATGTATCTCCTTCACCCCGGAGAAGCAGCTGTGCGGTCCTATGGCTATTCATCAGTAAATATCTTCGCCTGCTTGATTCGACTCCTACTGAGAACAGGGGAAGTAGTTACAGAAGCCCATTTTTGGCGTGTCCGGTGGGCTGCAGTAGCACTTGCGTCTATAGTGATCATTTAACATGCTGAGATAGTAATTACCACAGGCTAAGTGGCTGACTAACACACACAGCAAGCCACATACACACTCTTCTCTTTCGCACACAACTCTATCTCCCTCTTACTCCCTCCCCTCTCGTCTCCTCACTCATGCTGTTATTTCATGCAAATAATACAAATGTGCAGGGAAATATGAGAACTGGCAATTTATCACCTTAAAAATATCCCGCTTGATTTGGCAAGTGTTTTTTTCTGAGAGCTCTTATATAAAATGCATGGGGCTGGGTGCTGATTTTCAATATGGAATAATATAAAATGTGTTTGTCTTGGGCTTGGATGCAAATTGATTTGTCCAATCTATTATAAAATGGATAGTTGCTGGTTGCTGAGGACGAGTCAATGAGGAATTTGTGATAAAACAATTAGAGTTTCATTTGGTCACTCTTGCGTGGAAAGTTATTATAGTTAATGAAAACGAATGAAAAAATGAAAACTAAAATGTAAAAAAACTGTCGTTAACTGAAATAAAAATAAAAAAGAGAGATTTTTATTAAAACCTAGAACTAACTGAAACTGTACTGTACATAGGAAACAGACTGAAACTAACTAAAATTATAGGAAAAGCCTCCTTCGTTTTCATATTTGTGAAAATATTTAATACATAATCTTAATGTAAGCCTTTTAGAAGTAAATCTGATTCGCTTGGCAGGTGTTTGACCCTTTCGCACCTCAGAGTCTGTGGTCCTGCTGCCATTGACCAGATCGAGCCTGTTTTCCTCCAGTCATCCTCGCTGTTGCTCCCGCAACAAAAACAACGAGTGGACATGACAGCAGCATGGTGACATCATTAAATACAGACACGTTAAACTATTACTTTAACACATTTGTCTCCTATAATGGGTTTTATTTCTGTATTACGATCGCAAACAAATCTTTTTAACTGGATCTTCTAAGTAAACCGGTTGAACTAGTCAACCCAATCTAAATGAATCATTTGAAATGATTTTCCACAAACTACTTAAGCCTAATACCCCCCTCTGACTCTAAATAATCCAATATGTACTCTCATTCAGTTATTAGAACAGTAACGTTGCATTGAGAAGCGGTGAACCGATAATACTGTGCATGCGTGATTCAGTGAACCAAACACAAACAGTACAGCCTGCTGTGTGACTGAACTAAACTTGAAAAACTGCAGCGCGGGTGAACCGAGGGCTTAAATGAGAGGATCTGGTGGAAATGGAATTTTAAAAAAGTGAATCATGATTTAGTTGGGTTGCAAAACTTTACTGTAAGACATTTTTCAGATCATGGTGATGTTTTAACTGACTGAAATTATACTATTGCTGACTACAATGTTGAGTCCGAACATCCTAACATATTAATAATAATAATAATAATAATAATAATAAAATAATAATAATAATAGTTTTAATAATAATAATAATAATAATAATAATAATAATAATAACAACAATAATAATAATAATAATAATAATATACCATAAATACCATAAAAACTTAATTTATACATGAGATTAGATACAGTATGAGTGTTAGCTTAATAGTTTTATGTTTTAGCATAGAATATTGAACATTTTCAATAATATTTGTAAAGGAAACAATGCCCTATTTGTACATTTTGCATATTTCAGTTAATATAGAAAAGAGTGCATGTTTCTACAAAAACTAATATTGGATTTTTTAAGTGTGTTTGTGTGTATAAAACAATATAATTTAGTAAAAAAATATGATAGTAATTTTCTCTAAAGAAGTTGTTACTCTGCCCCGTTTAGAGCATCATTATAAAGGTTGTATGTTATAACTAACGTTGTTTAAATGATGGATCTGCGACAGAGAAACTACGGGTTTTGAGAAACACTTGTCACAACATGGTTCTTTTCCAAAACGATGCATCGTACTATAATAGTTCAGCCACGAGTTATGTCCTTTTTTGGGAAATGCACCCCAGGCTGGTAGTTCTGGTGATGCTAATTGGTCAATATAAACTATTACCAAGCAGGTAGCTCTGGTACTAAATGCTGATTGGTCAGTACTAAGTACAATTCACATTTTAGTAACAGCTGTGCAGCTCTTATAACCAAAGACTCGGTTATAAGAAATTGTTTCCACTGTGACACTGAATAAATTTGCTTACTTAAGTAAGACTTTAATGAAAATTTGTTTTCTTGATATTTTTAATATGTAGGAACCGATAAGGCACTCAAGGCTACGCTCACGACTGTATTCATAATATATCAATTCCTCCCTCTCAAGCTGTGTCTTATTGCCTAAATATAACTTCCTTTAATTTAGCCGAGGCAAAAAAAAAAATGATTAAACAGTGTCTTTCAAGTCGATGCAAATATTTCATTTGCCGAAAGATATCTGGCACGAAAAACAATCACTGTGAAGTTTCCTCTGTAAATAATGATTAAAATGAAATATTACAAGCTAGGGAGTCTAATTCAATAAACTTCAGCCTACAGACAGCGCTGATTTACTAACATTGTCTGGTGGCATGTCACAGTGTTGCCATGGTGCTGACAGATTCCCGATCTGTTTCCCAGTTGTCTTCCGGATGTTTAGATCAATATGCTTCGCATCGAGTCAAACAGTTACACTTTATTTGATAGCCTCCTAATGAAAGTAAGAAAAGCAGTTGCAGCAGATGCTCTTATGCTCTTTTTATAGCCTGCGTGTTTCATGCAAACGCTCTGATGTGCTTGATAACACATGTTTATGTAACTAAATCGTCGCACACAAACTCTGGTGGCTTTTATTTTACCACATGGTAATTCAGTGGCCTGACAGCTGTTGCTTTGAAGGAAATGTTCACACAAAAATGATTAATATGTTGTAAATTTTGTAACCCTGAAGCTATCCAAGACGTTGAATAAAGAAGATCTTCAGAAGAAAATGATCTGAAACCAAGGTGTATGGTGGTGTATACAATGCATTCAAGTTCCATACTCATGAAGTGCCATCAGCCTTGATTTGCCTTTGAGGAATAACCAAAGATAATAGCTTTTGAGCTCATTATCTTCTTTAATGAACATGATGTTTATTATGATATTTTTCATGAAATATAGGGATTTCCAAACATGTTTGTCAGGTCAAATTTTTTACAGTCATTGGGTCAAACCAGCACTAATAAATCTGTAATTTTAAGATTTATTTCTGTCAGCTGGGGTGCCAGAAATAAAGAGTAAAATAACAGCAGTTTAATTACACAAATTTCCTTAAATTTTAATTTCTGGTAAATTTCTGTTATTTAACCTCACAGTAAATTTGGGTAATTTAACAGCCCAGCTGCCGGAAATAAACCATAACATTACTGATTTTTTTTTTTTTTACAGTGAGTTATTTTGAATCCAAAATTACCTCAGCCATGAAGTTAATATGTCAACAATGTAACACATTTGCTGTGTTTACAGTTCTCTAATAGTTAAACTCAGGGAAACAAAATAATTACTTCAGCTTTTTTGCATTTAAAGGTTTTATTTAGACAAAATTGCAACTCACAAACCCTTTTCAGTTCCTACGCAAACCTGTAAAATTGCCATTAAAGATTGGAAGGGTGAGACATTTTTGGTTTAAAAGCAGGGGTGCCCAAACTGTATTATGTAATGGGCCAAAAAACAAATATCATATATATATTATAGATATAATAGAGTTGTGGATCAAAGGTAAATATACCCAACTGTATTACATTAAAGTTGCCATGGGTAATTTCCTAATTTATTTTATAATATTTCAAAATAAATAGAAAACATCACTTTAAATCATATTAACCAATGCAGTATAACATGTAAAACATTTACATGTCATGTAAAACGAAAAAAAAAAGTCACATTTATAACACAGTTCAATGTTGGATACACTAGTCAAACAGAATCTGCCTTTGCCTTGATTTGCTAAACAAAGTCTGTTGGTAACAGTGTGTACACTTACACTAAATCTCATTCATTCATTCGTTTATTTTCTTTTCGGCTTAGTCCCTTTATTAATTTGGGGTCACCACAGCGGAATGAACCCCCAACTTATCCAGCATATGTTTTTATGCAGCGGATGCTCTTCCAGCCGCAACCCATCTCTGGGAAACATTCATACTCACTCATTCACACTCATACACTACAGACAATTTATCCTACCCAAAATCACCTATACCACATGTCTTTGGACTGTGAGGAAAACCGGAGCATCCGGAGGAAACCCACGCAAACACAGTGAGAACATGCAAACTCCACACAGAAACGCCAACTGACCCAGCCGAGGCTCGAACCAGTGACCTTCTTGCTGTGAGGCGACAGCACTACCTACTGCGGCACTGCATCGCCATCTCATTCATTTACACCATTTAATGAATTTTTTCAATTTTCGTTAGCTTTTAACAATAAAACAAACACAACTGTTTCCTTTAAATTTGAAATGACTATCTTTAAACCATCTCCATCATTCTTCCACTCTTCTCAGATGGTAATGCGGGCCAAATCAAAGGTTACCATGGGCCAACTTTGGCAAGTGGACCCTCTTTTGGGCATCTCTGCTCAAAAGAAATCTAAAAGCATTCAAAAATGCAGCCGGATTATATTACTTAATACCCAATGCATTTGAAAAGTACTCACAGACTTTCCCTTTTCCATATTTGGTTATGTTAAAGCCCTATTCCAGGGGTCTCAAACTCGCGGCCCGCGGGCCATTTGCGGCCCTCAGTGCAATATTTTGTGGCCCGCGCTGACC